ATTTATTTTGAATTTGGAACAAATAAAGAGTTAAAAAAAAGGATAAAATGGCCCCAAACAGTTTTTCAAAGCTTCCTCCTATTTGTTCGTGAAGTACTTAAACTAACATTTCTGCCCAAAAAATCCCAGAATTGTAATAGGGAAAGCAATGAAAACCCATTTTACCCCAGGGGTGCATTATAGACTGTTCTCCCCTACGGTTATCACGCGGCATGTAAAAAAAATATTTTCTTTGTATAATCGCCGGATATCCGGTAAATATTCACTCCTTCCAATAATTCGTATTACCCTAGAATCTATTACTTGTTTACTTTATACACCCCAGAATGCACCCTAAAACGGAACGGATGGATCACGGAAGTTTCCGCGCAGTGCTATATGACTAAGTTTCTATATTCCTTTCGCCCCTCTGGCGTCTAAGATTCAGCTGAAATTATTTCCGTTATACACATCAATAATAAACCATCAATTTGAGTGACTTCGTCTAGGGTCGCTTGTCTTCAATAGTGGGGTAATTTTTATATTCCAGTCGGAATAAATATAGCTTGATCATAATTCTTACATTAACATACATGGCACACAACATAAACAAAATCCTAGCTGACAGTCGGTCACATTTTCAAACGATGACAGCCAGCAAGTGGCAATAAATATTAAAAGATCCTTCCTCTTTTGGTCCACATACAGCGACTGCTTATGGATGAAGGGAGTCTCGGTAATTTGCCACGTGCGCAGCGGAAGAAAGCCAAAATGTTGTTTTTCTTTTCACCGTATGTTGCTCCTGTCTGCATTTTTCATTGAAATATTATATTTGGAATGAGGGTTGCAAAGAGGGATGAAACATTAGAACAAATGAGTTGGTCTTCTGTACGGAAATATAAAAATAAACCTTAATATTTCACCAGGCAGTGGCTGTAAAGTGGATGAGTGTGTAAAAAAAACTGCACTGATGAATTGAATTCAATTGTTCAACTCACAATTCCGAATAACGCTAGGGCACAGTTATGGGGTGGTGTGGTTAACAAAACAGAAGTTTATTGTACCACCAACAGACTCAGCGTGAGGTAACCCCACATACCTAACAGGTTACAGCCAAACGCAACGAGGAACACTTCAAGTGCACTTGTATCATCGTTTTGTCGCACCTCATGTTCGATCCAGATCCCCTCCGTTCCGGGAAATTCACTCAACTCCTTCGAGACACATACATTCACTTTACACAATTTGGTTGCTTCTCTGTTGCTCCCAGTAGCGCTTATGAAAGTCGAGAGCACTCTCAACAGTCGCTCAAGTACCATTTACTGGCGTTGATTAAAGATTCATACATTAAATTAATGATTATTGTGACGATTTATTTGAGTTGGACGGTGACAGTGTGTGATGGATTGAGTGCGCTTGCCAGGACATTTTATGAGGCGTTGGCGACGGTTAAATAATAATTTTCAACACAACTTTACGAGGGACTTTTTCGATATCAGAAATAGAGAGGGACTTTTTTAATGCTTCAATTGATGTACAAAACAAAACAAAACAAACAAAAACCGGAATTCATAATTTATTAATTGTCATCTTTGATGCACTTGTCCATTAGGACGACTTATTGTTCTCTATTCTAAAAAAAAGATCATCATTGTGTGTTACAGACATGAATGCATCTATGGATGTAAAATGTCTTAAATAAATACAAAAAAAAAAATCATTGTGTTGAATCGACCGACATATAAATTCTGACATCCAATTTTATTACTCACAGCTTCAGATCGTTTATTTAGGCTTTAAATATCAGCATAGATCTAGGCAAATGCCTGAACAGAAAGGATACAATAATTCCTACAAGTGGATAAGTTTCTAAAAGGATACTGCAGCAAGGATTCCCATAAATTATTTGGTTTTCCATTCCAACTTCCATCCTTTCTTATCCTTCTTCGTTGTTACGGATGACGCATAAAATCGCGCAGGTAGGCCAAACTAACATGCAACCCAAAAATAAACGAACTAAATGTTAAACCACATAAGGTACACAAGTGACTGGCTGTGGCTGGCAGCCTAAATTATGATAATGATAAATAAGGTTACCTTTTTTTACGGAGGCGCCATTGTCAACGTATTAGACTGATAAAAATTTAATTTATATGGCGCTATGAAGAATAACCTGTGAGATAAAGCATCATAAAATTATTATATTGGCGCCCTCTGTCTTTCTTCTTCCTCTGCTGCTTACTCGAAGAAATGCATTAAGTTAGACTGCAGACAAATAAAATTCCCTCTTACATGTGTCGATACGTTTGCTTAGATCCCCTTCGTTGTGCCATCCGGCTGTCTCTATTTAATTTTTAAATTGATGATGAAAATTGAACCGCTTGTTTGTCTCAAATTCTACACGTTTTACAAATGTCATAATTTTATTAGCCAGAAAATGACAAAAAAGCGAATGAGCACACCCGGAGGGAGATCGACTGGAATGGTACACAATTAGAATGATAATGGTAATTTACCCCGGGCGAGTCAACTATTTTGCAACGCTCCTGTGCATCCAGCACGACAGATGTGATTTATGTTGTCACTCTCTGCCGATTTCCCCGTGAAAGATAGACCAGTAGCGTTTTTATGACGCAAAATAGAACATAATAAACAAATAGTATATTGTTAGGAAACACTTCCGAATACAAGCACAATGCGTAGAATGCTAGAGAATATGTTTTATTAATTTGACAGATTTCTCCACGGTCCAAGCAACAGAAAGCAGTACGACCAAAGCACTTTACCCTAACTTCAGTGTTGCAGATGAAACGGGCATCTCTTGGAAAGCAACTAGAAACAGCATAAAAAATAAATGTGTGAATTATGTATACCCTGAGGGATTGTACCCCTCATCCTACACCATGACTTTTCCCTGCAGTTTTTAAACTTGTGACATGGTGTTTATTCTGGCAGCCCAAATCTGTGTTTGATAAAGTGAGTGACTAAGTAATGCCGTACAGTGTGAAGTGTATGGATATTAATAATAAACCTGTTTTTTATTCCTTCCAGCGGGAGGGTGAAGATCCTTAGAGACAGTCAATTTTACGGATAAAACTGACGTAATGAAATAATCGCGGGTAGCATAATTGAAATTAGTGTAAACGTTAGTGAAACTATAATTTGATTGAACTATTGAATACATGTATGGATTTGCAAACAGAGTTTTTTATGGTGTGATAGCGTTGAACACATTACATGAAATAGAGAAACTCATCAAAGATGCAAATGATGATTAATCTCAACTGTCTGGGTGAAATATTGCAATGGGAATATTTCAGGTGCACTTATCATTATGCTGATACAAATTTAATAACACTCATTTGTACGGTACCTCTTGGCTCCAGCTTCTCCTGCTTCTAACGGCAAATACTCCAATTTCTCGGTAAATAATTACGATATTATCTATCCGAGTGTCTTATCGTAAATCACCCGCATTTTCCTTAATTATATTTTATTTCCTTTTCGTGTTGCTCTCCTTGGATTTGTGCTACAACTCCTCAATTACTATGCCAGTCAAATCACCCTGAATGCTCCTCCAGATCAGTAATGATAGCATCGTGCAAAATAAAATATTCCTTATTCCGTACATTCGGCCGGATATACACAGTTTCACCCTCTATTCTATCGATTAGGGGGGAAATATGCGCCCCTTTACGCTTCACATTTAACAGACTCCCTTTCCATTAATTTCATAAGCGGAAATGAAACTCAAACCACGGCTCATTCACGCCGCACAATTATTGCTAACAATCCTCTGTTTCTGACGATTGGAAAAATTACTTTTCTTTCCATTCCTCTCAAATGATCCGTTTCAGTCCGATTTGTGCTTAACCATTCACCTGAATGTGGGAAGTTTTTCTGATTTATTTTTTCTTTTGTCCGTTTACCATACACCCTCTGCATATCAACTCGCAATCACTGCTGCTGTTAGAAAAATCGTCACAAATGGATATAAACCTACGCTGAGATGACTGGTAGAAATAATCGAGGTTCAGTTTCCCCTTCATAACTAATTGCATGAGAGAGATATGTATTTTTTCTTCGACATTTGCCTCCTTTAAAATGTCTACGGCAAGCTTGATTTGATCCACCGAATTCATCACAGCCAGTGACCAGTATGACTAGCCCACCAGGTTTGTCTAGCAGACCTCCAGCTGATTTTATTTGGTTGTTGGTCAAAAACGTTTTCAACAAATCTAAAGTGAACTCGACTCGAAACAATTCGAACGGGAGTGGGTAAAGCAGGGAAAATCCAAATGCGGCAAAAAATTGATTTGTATACATATAGTAAAATTTATTGAATGAAACCATATTATAATGGACAGGAAGTGAAATAAATTGAAAAATACGCATTAAGCCTGCTACCAATTATTAACGTATGGTTGTTAGTTTCTTGACGACTAAAGATAGAACTGATTTGAATCAATGCTTACACAGGTGCAAAGCCTGTACAAATGTATATTTACTCACTATTTGGAAAGATGATTTGTTGTAAAGTTAATGAAAGTGCTCTATCTTAACGATCAATTATAATTTCACCATGCCTGATCCACAATTGTTTGCACTTTCCAATCGAGAATCAACTTTGAGATCAACTGCTGATTCGTTTCGCACGAGATCCGGTGGGCAGGGATTGTTAGTGCTTACCCTTTCAAAAAACTTTTTCGTCGATCGCGTTGATATAGTCGCTATTCTCGAGAGAAACTGCTAAACTAGATCAAGTCCGACCCCAATAACGGATCAAAGCGCTGATCACGAAGGGAGAATGATCAAAAAGATGAAGGAAAAACGCCGAATCGAACGTAACAGCGGGACGAATTTCTAAATTTTCTATACATATCCCGCTCTCTTGCCAAGTACCACTGGGAACGCAATGCTTTCTAGCAGAGTGAAAGAGAAAGAAGAAAAAATTAAATGATTATCCAACAACTCATTCATAAAACCAAAAACATAACCGTTTCTTTTCATTTCTTTCACAGAAAACATCCAAACTCGACGCATGAAAGGTGAGAGAAAGGTGGGTGAGTAAAGACGCAGCCTTTTACTGAATGAATATCGTTCTCACTATTATTAGGCACGAAGTGGGAGGGTTACAGGTGCCAAGCGTTTTTTTTTATACAATATAATAGACCCACCGAATAAAACTAGTAAGCCATCAGGCTGCCGCCCATTCAAGAAAAAACTGGAAGGGGCTAGGCATGTGTTTAGACAATGCAAACTGGAGATTAAAAATGTGTAATTTATCGCATTAGGTTAAAGCTTTTTATTAATTTTCGTTTATATTCGTAACTGTGACGAATTTTCTCTGGCTACTTGCGTTACCCACCGTAATGGAATCGTGGAATTGAGGTTTGCCTGGAAAAATTCCGAAATGCAGGAAAAAAATAGGAATGTATAGTTGTGGAATGCGGTAGTTTTGCCAGTCATTTGGGAAGGTAAAAAGAGGAAATAGATTCCGTGAATGTTTCACGCTTCAACCCACGACAAATCGTTTGAACTGAATTTGAAGACCTTTTTTAATTGTATAATGGGAGAAGTACTGCTCACCTTACAGGCAGTTTAAAAGATGAGATATGAATCCTGGTCTATTTCTTGAGGTGCAAGAGGTGCAAAGCATTTCTTTGATATCGTACAGTACATTTTAGCGATAGATATATATATATATATATTTGTATATCATAGCCTAGTCAGTTAAGACACGGTATTACCATGCATGATGTGACGGTTTCGGTTACGGTGCGTTCTATAACATCTTTTGGGTCAGAAATGTTTACGAGTTCCATTGTGCTTGCAACACAATATACAAATTCATTCCTTGGTTGACATGGATAGCCTTCAACTGTGGAAGTGTATCAAAGGTACATACATAGTAACATTCTACTAATAACGACTGAAGTTTGTGTCCTGAGTGGAAAAGCAATGAAACTCTTAAGACCATCACAACGTTAAACATTTGGGTTAAAGTCTGGTTTTGGAAGGATCGAGATTTAATTATTTTTCATGTGGTTTGTGTGATAGAGATTTCATTGTTAATGCTGTTATGCTAATGCTAGTCATATTTGCTTTTTCGACGGGATAGCACATAAAATAATTCTTTTTCTATATTTTTATGAGCATGTTTTTATCATTGATAACTTAGATCTAAGGCTTTATTTTGTGAAAAGCATACAATTGTATGCACACTCAAATAATAATCAATGTGATTGACCACATTTTACTGTATGCATTATTTTGTATGTATTATTTGATTTAAAGAATTATCAATTCATGGGGATGAATAATGATGATCCGGTGATGGTTAAAAATTTCATTAAACTTTATTAGAAAGTAGAGGAGTTCCACATGAAACCTTCCTGAAAAAGCTCAAATTAGACGAGAATATTTCAGATTTAAATTATTTATTTTTTGCTATCAACAGGAGGGAATATGAATATTCCATAGCTATTAAGACCATTTCGACTCAGGGGTTTCATTTTAAAAGTGCATATGTATTTCCATGGACACTATGTTAGAAAAAACGTATCTCACAAACTATTGATTGTACCGAAAAGGTGTCTATTAGACTAGAGGACTAGTAAACAATTGATTTAAAAACGTAAAAAAAAAACTGTTTGAAATAATTAATATTTAATAGATCCATTAAACTAAAACTCAAATCCAAATTATTGGAAGAATGGATCTTTTTAATTAAAAAAACCTGAAAAAAAATCTTTGAAAATTTGGTCTTCTACGAAATCTGTTAATAAATTTTGCACCATTATAATTATTTTTTTTGGGGAAAAGAATAAAACAAAATTTATTTTTTTTTTAATTGTATTAAAGTTTTTAATAAATCTAAAAAAAAACATTTTTTCAATGTACTAGTTCAATAGTTTTTGAAATATTGGAAGAAGATACTGAAGTCACTCACCCATGATGAATGGCGATATGGAAGTGTGACTTGACAAACATTCTGCGAAAAAAAAATCCGGTAACCGGTAGGACCCACAATCTCCCATTAAGTAAGCGGACGCATTATCAAATTTGCAACGGGTACCTTAACGGAACCGAAGTATTTGGCTATTGACTTGTAACATATCAATCCTCCGTATGTATGTATGTATGTATGTAAAGGATACCACTCATTGTTGCATGGCACAGCCATTAGACAGTGGACTGTCCACCTTGTATGACTAGATCAAGTACAATACCTGGTGGTATTAAATCTACCATTGTATGAAGGTCCATAAACGGAGGGTGGACTCGTAAGCAGAGACACTTATGCGTGATCCACGGGAGCAAGAAAAATCTCCTTCCAGTGATAAAAATGATTCAACCCGAGGTGGTTCAAAATGTTAACAACAGGGAGTTGGCAATTCCACTCTTCCCATCCTAATCGCTTCAATCAGGCGATGGACCCATTCCTACCCAGTGATTTTTTATGTTTATATGAAAATATGTAGAATATAAGAATACAATACCGTGTAGAATATCAAACCTGCATATATCCAAAATCTAATTCGAGAATGATCTTCACACTTTCATCTCCTCACTCATCGTGTATGGCTTCTGCTTTGATACACAGTATCAGATGAAGAAAACACAACAGTATTGTAGGGTACCCCATTTTCGGCCTGATAATCTAGCGCAGTTTAGCATCAAACGGAATGGTATTATTACTGATGGCTTCCAAATTTATTTACCTCTCCGTATGTACTGTAAGATTTGATAAAGAGAAACCAATCGTTGAGATATTGTCAAAAGTCTAACACTGCTTCTTGACGCCAAACTTGGCCTACGGATTCTAAACTCGGCCTAACGCATTGAACCGCCATTGAAACGCCAATGAATTCACTTCGGCATATCGGATGAAGATAAAAATTGATTCGGTCGGAGCGCTTCTTTTGTTTTTGGGAATAATGGGTGCAAACCTTTATATCACGCGTTCTCATTGACTTCGTTCCGTAGCTTATTAACCAAAGTATCGTACCAAACGCATAATTGACTTGTTAACTCTGAAATCATGGATTTATTTGAAGTTTTCTGCTCGATAGGCCCAAAATGGGTGATTAGGCCGAAGTAGTTCTCTACCCTATCTACATCCACACATTTTTTTTTCCCTTTATTTGTTTTGCGTCGATCTTGTTTTCCGTACTGAGTACCAATGCAACCGACGCCAGGAAGGCAGCGCCCACACCTGGACCCTTCATATCGACCCATCAACTCATGGACCAGGTACCAACGGCTTTCATTCCTTTCGAAGGAAGGCGTGATCATAGATGTTATACCTCAGAAATCCCGGCGGCGCCGACTGAGATTGAACCCACGTCTTTTGGGGTGAGAGACAATCACGCTTAAAACTACACCACCGGCGCCGCTAAAAATCCACACATGCCAGCGGAGTTTTTAAGATAGGTTGTTTTCAAACATAGTTCTCATGAAAATACATAAGCCCTTTTAAAATACGACGCTTGATTCCAAATGGTCTAAATATCAATGGAAGATTAATATCCCTCCCTGTCAAAAGCACTAAACTACTATACTAATACTATACTACTATACTAATACTATACTATACAGATAAATATTGAATATTTGATCAAGATTTCAATAATTTTTAAACACGCGTAGAAATAGCACACCTCTCTGAACTTTTTTGGACCTATTTAACATACAAAATTTTAGAGTTATTTTATCAAAAATAAAATTGTGTTTCTTCATTACACCATGTGAGCATTATCTTTCATCGTAGTAAAAGCTAAATACATGCTTGCTTTCCTGGGCCTTCTAGCTTAAATAGGGTTAAAAGTCCTACGTTGGTTCGGATTATGTTAATTTAACGGTGTCATCTTTTAGTATGAGTTCGTAAAATTAAGCTGAAAAACTTCTACTACCGTGTTTAGATATGTCCATTTCATTTGTGCATCGGGATGCTTTTAGTATGTTCTTCTACTCGTTACTACATACTGATCCCTGGTGATATTGGAGAGAGTGCATTGCATTTCAATTTTACACAAGTGTCTATTTCAACATCAACATGTTGAATGATAGATGAAAAATCTACTACGGTTTGGACTGGCATCGTTGTATATGTGTCATAAATTGTTTCTGTGTTTGCTCGAAACATACGACATGTATGTATGTACGCAGCATACCGTCGCTCGCTCCCTAAAAATGCGTACAATTGTTTTGTGTGCATCATGTTCGTGTAGATTACATATTGATGGATCCAGCACAAAACGATTCAATGGCAAAATGGAAATATGTGCACGAGCGAATTTCATTTAATCTCTTTCAATTAAATTTATTTTTGTTTTTATAAAAAATAAAAAAAATAAAACATTAATTTGTGTTGGTACATTTTCGTTTTATTTGTGTTCTGAATTTATTTAAATCAATCAAAATAAATTTAACATCATTCCAAGGCATGCTACAATCGAGTATATAGTTTTTATTGCTTTGATCGTTGGATCCACTGCGGATGATTTTTCCAACATGTCAAGTTAAATGCTTTCGGTTATTATAAATTATTTCATATAATAATTTTCTTCAATAGTGTACAGTCAGCTTGCCGAGTATATCGAATTTAATTGATTTCGATTCTTTAGACTATTCAATAAAGTAGAATTGCTCTGCAACTTTTCTGACGCACAATAACTTATCTAACCAACGATGCTGGCTAAATCAAGATTTCAAACAAATAAAATATTTATTGCCCACCTAACGGATTAACTCTTTGGAATTGCTTATATAGGATGCAAGATCCCATATTCATCGTACTACCGACCCCTCAAAAATCGATCTCATCTGCATCGATGGGTACACTTCACGTATATAAGGACTCCAAAAGGCTCCATAACAAAAGAAACACCCGCTTACTTGCAAAGCTTATATGAAGACCACAATAAAAGTAATAAAAATATTCATATATGTGTACGAAGCACCCTTCTTCTGCACGACGCTAGAACTCCCATACTCGTGCCACCCGATACCATAAGTGAGGGTTAAATCACATCATATCACCCCACAGTTAACCCAAGAAGATCACACCCTGCAGAATTCTCCCACTGAATACACACACAGGAAATTTCGCTGACCATCGTCATAAACTTCTTCCCGCCAGCTTTTGCGCTACATCGTCCTTGTTCATATTCGCACACACCTACGCTCCCTAGCAGAAGAATGTATCAAATTTATCAATAGTTATAACCTCTCCTACTCTCTCTTGTTACATATTTTCTCTTTCTCTCATTGCTCTCAACTGCGAAGATGATGTTGTATTTCTGTTTAGGTGTGTATTGTGCAACTATATGGATATATATTGCCTTCCTCGCAGATTTCGCTATGTACCAATTGAGTTCAGAAGCTATTCGTTTCCTTTCTCCGTACTCCAATGTCCAGTTCTCCAAGCTTCGAGCAGTTTGTGTCCAGTCCAGTCCAGGTCCGGTTACCAAGGATACCAGGGGGTGCCTTTGGGATGGGAATGAGAACCTGTGCGAATGGGCGCAAAATGGTTGAAGGGACCTTTTTCCAGCTGCTCATGGTCATTTCTCTGGCGCTGGCGGAAAGATGTGATGGCGGGTGATGTAGCAAATCTTAATTTTTTGTTGGTCATTTTCTGTGCGATTGTACGCTAACGCGTGCGAGGACGAAGGAGACCGAGCTGAATGCTGGGCAGTATGAGAAAGCATTCTGTCAGTCCGGGCTGAATAGGAGGATAAAAAGAAATTTTACCTCACACGCTTTCATCTTCCGACCAAGTTGAGATAGGGCTAGCGGACTAAAATGCGGTACAGTGGAATCAGATCGGGTGGTTGGTTGGTTTAGGTGGTGAGGAATGGCTCTCATGTACACGTCCGTGTGTCTCCCCACTGTTCAAAAGGCTTTCATTTACCGTCATTGGAGAGCAATGAGATCCTAACACAGTCAAGCATTGTTGCGTTGCTGGGAAAAGAATGGGATCCCACAATTTTTCCATTTCGCCTGCAAAAAGCGTAGTTAAAATATTTTGGGAAACGAAGGGCAATAAATTCAACAGGAAATAGAATGGAAGGACATAAATATTTTATTGTTATGTTGAGATGAGCTTTTTTAATCATGTTTGATTTATTTCCCCTATTCTATTAGGACTCTAATTAGGACCAGTCAAGACAAGTGGCGTTATTATGGTACACAATTTTAAACGTTGGGTAGATTGTGAAACAACTGGAAAGTAATCGGGATTTATAAATTTTCACTAAGTCCAGAATATCGAAAAATTTGTCTATATTTAAAGAGAAAGAGAAAGATTCGTAATTTCCATTTAATTCCACTACCTTATTTGCTTATCCTTGACATATACGCGTATTTCGTCTACAATGTGCAGACTTCTTTAGTGTTTTGTACTAATACTCGAATACTACTGTGAATACTTGTCTATGCTTGTTATCTCAAAAAATTTAAAAGGTTCTGAATTTTGAAATTTTTTTTATGGTCTTGAAAATTTACCTCAAAAATTCTACATAGAAAAAAATGTAGAAAAATTTGAATTGTCACCTTCAGTTTTATTGTTGAGCTTAACTTCGCATAAATGATGAACAAGTTTGTTTACAATATTGCCGATTTATTCAAAATATAGTGTAAATATACGCCAAATATAATATTAGCTAGCTTTGCGCTTCAGAGATGAACTAGCATATCCAATATGTATCTCCCTGAAAAAGTTTGAAAAATAAAAACTTTGTGCAATAGATTACAGACATTTATATGAACTTATCGAACAGTTCAGTGACAATCCTAACAAAATCAAAACTTCAGATAAGGAAACGAATTACTTAAACCCTCTCAAATCTATGTATGATATCTCATCAACTTTTTTAAATAACAGAATACAAACACAATACAAAAAAACTACACTGTGTCAAACATATTTGATCACAAAGAATTTTGTTCAAAATCTGGATTTTACTAAATAGTGATGTAAACATCCATGCGTGTAAAATTGTATTCCAATTCACGCAACCCACAAACATTGCTAACTAAGATGGATGGTTGCATACAATATTTGTAGCATTTCATTAAATGTCGCAGAACTTATCACGATTTATAGTATTTTTTTATTTAGGTTGATATAGCGGCGCCGGTGGTGTAATAGTAAGCGTGATTACCTCTCACCCCAGCAGGCCTGGGTTCAATCCCAGTCGGCACCGCCGGGACGTTCTGAGGCATAATATCTCTGATCATGCCGGGATAACGGGAAGTAAAGCCGTTGGTCCCCGGTTCTTGAGTTGATGGGTCGATATGTAGGGACCAGATGTAGGAGCTGCCTCCCTGGCATCGGTAGCATTGGTGCTCAGCACGGAAAAAAAATTAGGTTGATGCAAACTATATTTTCATTTAAAGTCACACCGCTCCATACAAAATATCAAATAGATGTCGAACATAAAAATTAAAATAATTTTTGCATCAATCTTTTTTTTTTATCAACAGACATAATGTGGCCCTAATCATAGTTTCTTAACACATTTAGTCCTAATTCTATAACGTTTTTGTCAAAATTTCACCTTTATTTTAATAATACTGGATGAACTCAACAATGTTGTATCGGAAATTTGTTATCCCATTACACGAAAATAGACGACTCAAAACTTTCCCGTTTTGCTGATTTGTGCTATAGACGGACTAATACATTATTCTGCTATCCGTGCAAGAACCGATAACATATGAATATCGTAATGTGGTATGATATCTTGTTTTGGTAGCCGGCGCCAGTGGTGTAGTGGTAGGCGTGATTGCTTTCTAACACACCAATGGGACTGGGTTCAATCCCAGCCGAGGTCGGTGGGATTTTTCTGAGGCATAAAAATCTCTGGTCACGTCTTCCTTCGGAAGGGAAGTAAAGCCGTTGGTCCCGGCCTATGTGTGTTGAATGGGTGCGATATCCTACGCAGGTGTGGAAGCTGCCTTCCTGCACATTCAATTGTCGACAATAGATGGCAATCGATGTCCGTCGGTGATTGGCACTAGATTGCGGAACAGAGACCGACGTTAAATAAAGGAATGAAGAATCTTATTTTGGTATGCTTGTGGTATAAAACCTTGTTTTGATATTATTCAGGTATCGAAATATTTTGTAAAATATCAAATAAATACCAAAATAACGAAATGTGACCGTTCAATTTTTAGAAAAAAAAACACCTCAAAGAGTTAGATTGGTTTTAGAAGACCTTTTAAATGACAAACTATGGTATTCTGGCATGTAAAAAAGCGTTGAGTATCAGTTCTGTGTGGTGCATAAATACTGTAGTGTAACATGTGCTAAACTCGGGCGAAATCATCCAGCGCATCGCCCTGTTCGCCTCTTAGCTAGATGAATATGATTGTGTGAGTGATTTCCGTCCACAGCGACTTAGCACTCGACCAGGCATCGTTGGTACCGCCATTGTCTCTGCACAGTCCACTTGCAGCTTCTGAGACGGTAAGACGTGCTTCCGTGTGATTAGCCCTCGGTGATTCCTTGGTGATTATCGAGTATTCACAATGGCGATCCTGCCAGGAGTTGCTCAAATAGGAGCAACATCAAATTAAGGACCATGGAAAAATGTGTTAAAGAGGAATCACCGAGGCGTATAGAACAAAACTAATTATTGAAAGTTATGGTTATGTGTTACGTAGAACTTTCAAAGATTGCAATGCGGAATGGGACATCCGTAATAAAAGTGACTGTATTCTAATATAGAAAACGTGTTTGCTCTGGATAGAAACAAGAAAGCGAGTTGGGACAACCGCTATGATCGAATCTTGAAACAACCTCGAGCGTGTTGGGACAACCGCTAAGGCGACCTTTCACTGATAAACGGATGTTGATAGTGCGGGTCAGGACGTCGCCGCTAAATCGAATGGAAAACATAAAAAAAATCATAATATCCCCGTTATTAATAAGACAACGGAGCATTCGAAATCTAGCTAATGCTTTGCATGTGTTTGTTACAGGTTTATAGTGCAGCAATACGAAGCAAAGCGAAAGCGAATTGCACAACCAGACAACGTAGCACCATGAATGGGAAATACGTGCGAACCGTCGAGCAAACGGAACAGGAAGACTGTGATGTAAATCCCAAATCTCCCGTTAAAGCGCAATCGGAAGGAATTAATGCAGAGCACGAGGCAGTTGACCATAACCATGCAATCAGTGACGTGGACACGGAATGCGATTCTGACGGTAGTGACTCCGACGGTAGTGAATCCTACAGCGATAAATCTGCAAGCAACGATACCAATAGCAGTGGTTCTGGTGACGAAGCTGATGGCACTGGCTCTGAAAATGAACCCATACATCCATCGTGTCCGGATCAATCCCTTACCGAACCGTGTACCGGACCAACTAATGGAAAGGCGAATTCGAAAGATGGTCAAGCTGATATGTGTCCAACGTCACTCACGAAGAACCTCGGAGGAGAAATTCCGAACGACCGGATGGATCGAATTGAAAAAGTTCTCGAGTGCATGGCTTCAACCATACAATCCTTGCAAACATACAACCGCCCATCCTCATCACACCGGGAAACCGAACCGAATTGGAGTGTGCCTATTGATGCTCCCAGCACGGGTGAGAGAAATTCATCTGCAATAAGATGGGACAACATCCAACCATTCCCCTCCGGTATTCCGGCGAATAAGATGTGGGAGGAATGGAATAGATATATAGAAAATTTTGAGATTGCCGCATCGCTGAGTAATGTCGATGACCCCGTGAAAAGAACACAGCTTTTGTTTCTTTCAATGGGCCCCGATCTACAAGAGATAGTCCGAGCAGCAAAATTACGCCCATGTCTGACAGACGTGAACTGTTATAAGACGTTTGCTGCTAACATCCATGCTTACTTCCGATCAATGACAGACACAGCGGCGGAACACGAAGCGTTCTCGTCCATGATACAAGAAAGGAATGAATCCGCCGTCGCATTTCATGCACGTCTAATGTGCAAGGTCAGGCTATGTGGTTACAGCAATGACGACCAGGACCGATTTGTGAGAGCGCAGCTGCTTAAAGGTCTACGGAACAAAGCATTAGTCAAAGCATCCAGAACGTACGGACACGAAACGAATTTCATCGTGCAGGCAGCTACCCGTGACGAGGCATATGAGGCTGAGACAACACAACCTGCAAACGACCATGTATTTCAAATAAAACACCAGAATAAAACGAACAGTAGCAACCAGAAACGCAGGAATCTGGATAACTCCACGAGTGATCCACCTGCCAAACGCCGTCAGATCGATTATGCTCAAGGACGACGGTCCCGCTGTTCGCGGTGCAACCTTTCATTCCATAGGAACGGTCGATGCCCTGCACTCGATAAGAAGTGCCTCAATTGTGGCAAGCTAGGGCACTTCGCAGCAGCTTGCAGAAGCAGACGTGTCAATGCAGTCCGTTTTAAGCGAGAGGACGTATCAAGTGACCATGATGACGGACGTGAAGATGACAAACAGGTACTGAAAGAATAAAAATGCATAACTTTTAAATAATCAATGTGATAATATACTTATTGATGATCACCATGTGTTTTGTTCTTTCTAGCATATCAATGCATTATCCTTAGAAGACGTTTTGATTAACTGCAGTTTGGGGTCAGCCAGTTTGATTTCTTTTCTTATTGACTCCGGTGCTGACGTCAACGTCGTATGCGGAAATGATTGGGACCGCATAGAGCGCGACTTTGAATCCGGCAAGGCAAAACTGGAAATGGTTAACAAAAAGAATAAGGGAATTCTCGCATACGGGTCAAAAGAACCGCTGTCAGTGGAACGGACGTTTAGAGCTGAGATAGTTGTACCAAATAGTAGCAGCCCTCCCATTACAGCGATTTTCCATGTCATCCGTAAGGGACTCCGATCGCTTCTTGGTCGATCGACAGCTAGCGATTTAAGGCTACTGCAAATCAATATTTGCGAAATAACAGAAGACGTGAAGGAATTCCCGACGATGCCAGGCGTAACAGTCAAGTTCAACGTAGACAACACGATTACACCAGTAAAGAACGCATATTACAACGTGCCAGCTGCGTACAGAGAAGGGGCAAAGCGCCGACTTCTTGAAATGGAAACACGTGGGATCATTGAGAAAGTTACTTCAGCACCCAACTGGATTAGTGGAATGTCCGCAGTTTCAAAAGGGAAAAACGATTTCCGCTTGGTAGTAAACATGCGCGCCCCTAACCGAGCGATAAGTAGAGAATACTTCCGGCTTCCCCTTATACAAGAAATGAAAGTGCGACTACACGGGGCGAAGTATTTTTCAAAACTGGATCTGAAGAACGCTTTTTACCATCTAACCTTGTCAGATGAATCGAGAGACTTAACGACCTTTTTGACCGAGGACGGGATGTACAGATTTACAAGGCTTATGTTTGGAGTAAACTGTGCTCCTGAAATATTCCAACGCGAAATGGTGAGGATACTGAAAGATGTTGAAAACATTATTGTCTATATTGACGACATCTTGATTTTCGCTAGTTCACTGGAAGATCTTCGAAAATACGTTGCAAAGGTCCTGTTTATTTTGAAAGAAAATAACCTAACGCTCAATAAAGACAAATGTGAGTACGACAAGCCAAAAATCAAGTTCCTAGGACACGAACTAGATGAAGAAGGCTTCCACATCGATGAGGAGAAAATCAAAAGCATTCAGAATTTCAGGGAGCCAGCTACCCTATCCGAGCTTCGAAGCTTCCTTGGTCTGGCGTCGTTCATCAGCCCGTACGTACCAAACTTCGCCGATATTTCCAGTCCTTTGTGGGCAGCAACTACAGGAAAAATTTGGTCGTGGGGCCCAGAACAAAGAAAAGCGTTTAACATCATAAAGCAGCGAATCATGGAATGCACCAAGGCTCTCGGTTATTTTTCCGAAACCGACAGAACAATCCTTTACACCGATGCATCGCCGGTAGCTCTGGGGGCGGTGCTAGTACAGGAGAGTGATACTCGTCATCCACGAATAATCAGCTTCGCTTCAAAGGCATTGACCCCTACCGAGAGGAAGTACGCCCAAAACCAACGTGAAGCGTTAGGTGCAGTTTGGGCAGTAGAACAATTTTCGTACTACCTCCTCGGTAGACATTTTACATTGCGCACTGACGCCCAAGGAGTGGCGTTTATTCTGAACCGGTCACGAGAGGATTCAAAACGAGCCCTTACTCGCGCTGATGGCTGGGCGCTTCGATTGAGTCCATACAGTTATGACGTCGATTACGTACGAGGCCGTGAGAATATAGCTGATAGTTCATCAAGACTATATTGTGGCGACGACGCTCCCTTCGAAGAGGACGTAAGTCCCTGGGAAATCGGATGTCTAGAGGCAAATACCATGGAATTCCTAACTGAGCACGACGTCAGGGAACGTACAGAACACGATGAGACGCTTAAAAAGGTAATGCATGCCTTACAGACGGGAGAATGGTCGATCGATTTGCGAAAGTATGAGGCGGTGAAGCATGACTTGACCATTCGGAACGGAATAATAGTCAAAACCGGATGTGCCGTAATGCCGGAAAAACTCCGCAAAAGAGCTCTACAAGTAGCCCACGAAGGTCATCCAACAACTGCTAAAATGAAAAGTATTATCAGACAGCGTGTTTGGTGGCCTGGCATTTCGAAGGATGTCCAACATTGGGTGGAGTCCTGCAAAACATGTGCCATTAGTGGAAAACCGGAGACGACGACACCGATGGAACGAGTATTTGTGCCAAACGCAGTGTGGGAAACACTAGCCATCGATTTCAATGGCCCCTACGTCAAGTTTGGTGGCATTTCGATACTCCTAATCGTTGAATACAGATCCAGGTATCTCATAGCAAAGCCAGTAAAATCAACCTCTTTCGAATCCACGAAAAAGATACTTGAAGAGGTTTTCGAGAGGGAGGGCTACCCTAAGATCATCAAATCAGATAATGGTCCGCCATTCAATGGCGTAGAATACAAACAGTATTGCGCTCAGCGAGGAATAACCACGATTTTTTCAACCCCGTTGTTCCCGCAGCAAAATGGGGTGGTAGAATCCTACATGAAGGTGGTCAACAAGGCAATGGCCACAGCTTCTACAAACAAAACCAACTTCGTTAACGAGCTACGGGAAGCGATCAATGCTCATAATGCAGCAAATCACAGCGTAACCAAAGTGCCACCGGAGGAAGTCATGCTGGGCCGCAAGATCAAACGAGGACTACCGCTACTGCAGCATGAGAAAGCGTCGTATGATGAGAAGCTTCTTGAAAGTACCGATCGGCAATCTAAACTGTTGGGAAAATCTCGCGAAGACGCAAGACGCGGAGCAAAACCATGTAGAGTGAAGCCGGGCCACACGGTGATAGTGGAACGGCACAATCGTGCAAAAGGAGAGACTCGTTTTCTTCCTAAGAAGTACACCGTCGTACATGAGAAAAACGGCAGCCTGGTGCTCGATGACGGGGATGGAGTAGTACTAAAACGGCACGTATCACAAACCAAAAGAGTACACCAATGGCGTGACGACAGTTCCGCACACGAAACTGAAACGAGCAAGTTCGCGAACGATACTGGAGTTGATAAGACGAATAAGCCTGTAGATGAAACAGCAAATGGGACCATCGGTAAACCAACTGATAGTACAAGAATACCGGTACGGGACGCCCGAAACAGGAAAGTACCCAACTACCTCAACGATTATGTCCGTTCGGTGCGGGAGGATCTTCGGTCGACGCGGTACTAATCTCCAGATGTGGTAAAAACTTATTTCGCTAAAATTATAGATATCCATTAGGGAAAATAATTTGATTTCTTTCATACCTTTTCCAGAATTTTCGAGGAAAAACGTTCCTTCCACAGAAACAGCTGGCTGTTTTGTTTGTCTTGCAAGTGCAATTTTTGTGTTCTTTTCGAATCTTTCAATCGATCTGTCAAATTCAAACCCCAGTGTAAAAAATATTCAGAAGTAAATGATTGGGCAAGGTTTTTGTAAAAAAGGTGAGCATAATCGCGGAATTGATGACCCTCGAGATGATATATATATATATATATATAAATTACTTTTTTACTATATTACACAATTGAAGATTTAAAATTATTGACTGATTGTTGCTCTAATGCCGGTAGAATAAAAAGATGACATTGGCTAATTAGATAATTGTTATCGAACCAACTCACGACACTTTAAAGCTAGAAATTATAATGTTTGTTGTAATAATACTTTCGAACTCGCTTTCGAACCATCTAAATAAAAGGTAACTCAAATATATATATATTTTAATTTGAATGAATTGTTTGAGGAAGATTCGTCGTTGCTTTATTGGAAAAGAAGAGAGAGTCTATAAACCACAAGCGTATTTTTTTTGAGAGGAAGGAAGATGTGTGGTGCATAAATACTGTAGTGTAACATGTGCTAAACTCGGGCGAAATCATCCAGCGCATCGCCCTGTTCGCCTCTTAGCTAGATGAATATGATTGTGTGAGTGATTTCCGTCCACAGCGACTTAGCACTCGACCAGGCATCGTTGGTACCGCCATTGTCTCTGCACAGTCCACTTGCAGCTTCTGAGACGGTAAGACGTGCTTCCGTGTGATTAGCCCTCGGTGATTCCTTGGTGATTATCGAGTATTCACAAGTTCTTAGAAAAACTATATTATTTATTGATTCGTAATTCGTTAAACATTTCTAACTATATTACAACATGCCATTGATTTGAGATTTTCGTCTTCTTGGGTTGCCATGAGTGGCAGTTTACTTGTCACGATGTGAATACTGAATCTTAAAACTTTTTTTTCATGTTTAGTGCGAATCATTCGTATTGCATATCGCAAAGTTTCAAAGCACAGCCTACACAAATCTTTTGAACATACGTTAAAACTATGAAACCTTTCGTTCCTTACGAAACCCTCGCTCGTGGTTTATTAATGAACATGACGATTCCATTCACAGTCGTTGTTGTACTAGGTAATTGAAGGTCTACCGTAAAGGGTTTTTTTTTCCTCTGTTCGGGACATAACACTACTGCGACCAATAATTTGATCTATTGTAGTATATCCTGTGTCCTTAGTTTAGTGCATGTCGTATTACTCCATCACTATTGAGAAATGATAAAGTATACGGTTTTGATACAGTTGTCATTCTTGTCTTCATCGCAAGGAATCGATTCAAAATAGAAGGTCCCGCTATTTATACCCTTCGGAGTTGGAACACCCTCCAAATGCGCGCCCCTTTGTCAGTCAAAATTGGATTTCTTAGCAACAAAATTATGGAATGACACCGATAATGACCATGCATCAGAACCCTAGTCTTAACCACTTCAAACCATGGAACAACGAATAGAAGACTAACTAACTTCTTTTTTTCTTGTTTCAGGACTTATCATTATCAACAAGTCATGAAAAGTAACAAGGACTAAGATGTGTTCCTTTGATTACTGAAACATCCCCTAGTTTGAAGTAGCCAAGACTAGGAATCAGTGGTAGATCTTACATCCCGTAACGTACCTCGAAAAGGTGATCTACCCACGTTACGGGGCGTAAAGGGGTTATTCCATGCGGTTTGAAATTCCACTCACTCGACTTACAATTCGATGAAACAAAGAAAGAATTTGCATGATAGTGTTCACTCGGCTGTCGACAGAAGCAGGCCGCGCTCGATTTGTGTCACGCGATCGTTTGTTTACTCGGCAACAACCATTGTGTGGACATTCTCATTGTTCTTCATCAGCAGTTCTTTCGGTCGATGCTTTGTCGATTTTGGAAAGCAATCGTTTCGTGATGAGTGTGTGAGTGCTGACCATGTTTTACGTCCATTGAAATGGAAGCGCTCTATCCCCGGTTCGCGATACTGTCATACAATGAAGCTACTGGAAGCGGCTCCCGTTCTGATGGAGGAGGCTTATTGGATAGCGCAAGATAAAATGTTTATTGTGTTGTACCTTTTGACTATAGTTTTAAGATGTATTGTATTGTGAACAAGAATCATCGGCTCTGTAAAGTTAATTCGATTGAGCCTTATCAAATAAACAATATGTACGAATGCATCACTATTTTAGTGCTACACTCGTATGTATTCTTTTTTCTCATGAACGTAATGACAGATACCCGTATTTCGGCTACAATGTGGATACTGCTTCGGTGTCTTGTATTAGTCGAGTATTAATACAAGAAACTGAAAAATTCTGCACATTGTAGATGAAATACGCGTATCTGTCAAGAATAAGAAATTAAGGTAGTGAAATTAATTGGGAATTACCAACTCTTCTCTATTTTTTTATATTATCAAATATTCTATTTGCATGATTACTTAGTCCTTATTCCGGACACTTTGAATAGTTGATTATCACTGGTCAATATAAAATCAAGAGCCACATGTGAAACGGGCATACAAGCTTTTTGAAAACAAACTTTTGTAGGCCATTTTCTCGCCCACCGAGGGTCGCCCACGCAAGCCAACAAACCAACATTATCTAGAAGGGGAAAGTTTCCCCTACCGGGTGATGTTGATGGTTTGCGTGGGTGTCATATGAAAGGACATAAGAAGGTTTGTTTACAGAAAGCGTGTATGCCCTTTTCACATTTGTTCTTGAAATATACTACACTAACAATCAACGAAAAATTATGTGTGCACACCTAAGGGAATACGAAATTAATTGTTTAAACATTGTCTCTTCTTCTTCGTATTTGAAGCTTGCCCAACAAACAATTTTAGCTGCCGACCAGCTTATACAAGCAAAAATTAGCTGCATAAGGCAAATTTTGGCTGTATAAGCTTATCTGCAGCTAAAATTGTTAGTTGGGTATTGCTTATCGCATATTAGTTTATTACGTGCTCTCAAGCCTCTATACAGCAGAAAATAAATTTTAATATTACATCCAAGAGGATGAACTTTAATCATGTCGAAAATCTCATGTAATTTTTATGGCCACAAAAATAAACAAACGCAGTAAAAGCAGCGTACTGTCAGTTCATGCACTGTATTAATGATAATTTTGTCCTTTTTGGCAAGTAATATTACACCATATTTTCGACACGATTGAAATGCATCCATTTTGATGTGATATTAAAACTAATTTTTTGCTGTGTACCATTTTTGCATTAGAATAATTGAGTACCTAGCACGTACAATTATACTTTATGCCCAGGTATGTCAAGAAATTGTCCAACCCAAAAAATTCCTAGACCAAACCGGGAGTCAAATATATTTTGTTTAAGCCTCTCTTAAAGTACTGCAACATCCCTCGTAATGTTTATATAATACAATAGTTACCTTTTCTGACGCCTTTTAATATAGTTTAGTTACCTTTAGTTTAGTTACCTTTTAATATAGTTTATTTGTAAATATGCTCAAAATTTCACGTAAATATTATCTGGTATTTATTATCGTTCTGAATCATAACGCATTAGTTGCAAAGTTGTCGAAATATTTAAAAATAAATTAAATGTCTGGATTATCGGACCGATCGGTATTCGGTACATGATGGTACTTAGTAGTTTATCGCATAAATTGTAGCAGATCTACGGGTACTTAGTGAAGTAATTGCAAACTTGTAATTATTTTAAATGTGTCAGGAAAAGGTGATATATTTGATCACAATTTTCTAACGTCCATTAAATGTTTTCATTGCCTGATCTCACAAGTATACATAAAACAATAACATTATTCTTTCTTTTACTAGAGGATCCTTCCTGGCAATGCTGTTTATCTCATAATAGCCCGAGTATTCCGTCTTTGCTATCGCATTTTAATGCAATATATCTTCTCCTATTCCTTCCCTGGTGCTTATCGTTCTCCACAATACTTTTTTTTTAATATTTTTATTTCAGATGTTATATTTATGTAATATTGCATTCAGAGGCGTGTCTAAACTATTATATCATATCATATTTTATGCTTCGTACATAAGCGAGAAGATGAAAATTCACCCACACAAACTATGACCGCATATACACTTCCTATTTCTGGTGCAAATTCTCGCAAGTGCTACCATGGTTTTATTTGCTGGTGCCGGTGTAACAGGATTTTATCTTGAGCATTTCTGTTACCAGAGCTGTGTGTGCATCACTGCCCCTTACTATGGTTCTATGGTCCTTTTCACCTGCTCTGTCCTACCAAGGTGAAACGATAAATGCTGGACTGTATGTACAATGGGTTGTACCTTGATGGCAGATGCGAGCCCCAGCATGGTATAGAGATTTCAGTTACCAGTAAAATCTATTTTTTCTTCTTCCTTTCCCATCCCACGAGTCTAGAACGTCAAATCCTTTATTAATATTTGGTATAAGACAAGTACATAGATATAATATTTTTCACCTTCTTATTCTGCACCATGTATCTAGAAGGTGTAGGCGAAGAAGTCACGAAGGTGCTGCTCAGTGAGAAAAAGCTTGTAGCCATGAGGAGCATATATGAAAATATAAATCACATTTTCGCGCATGCGTCTGTAAACTACCCGAGGAAAGGAAGATTTTTATTGAATATGATGAAAATTGTTAGCGCGCGATTCCTTTCCCCATCCTTCCATTTGTCTCGCAGCCATACACAGACGACGCACGCAGGGTATTTGGGAAAGGATCGCAGGGAAGAAAAGAGACAACTTGTGGTTGGAGAATATACCTGAGTTGTAGAAGCGCGACAGGGACGACATATGATCTGTTTACATAGCGCATATGAAATTATGACATTTCCTTCGGTTTGTGGTATGTTCTGCAGTAACTATATGATGACGGTGTGCGCTATCCTT